TTGTAGGTGAGGAAACTGAGTGGGTTTCCTACGGCCCAGCTGGCTGTTAAAGCAGAGCTAGGCTTGGAACCCCGGCCTGCTTCATGGTGAAGTCTGCAATTTTAACCGATCATGTATAGCAGTGGTCCCTGACCTTTTTGGCACCAGGGACCGGTTTCATGGAAGACAATTTTTCCATGGCAGAGCAGGGAGGGCAGCGGAGCCCAGGCAGTCATGAGAGTGATGGGGAGTGACTGTAAATACGCTTACCCGCTACTCACGGATTGGGGGTCCACGGGGAGGAGGCGGTGGGGCTCTCTGGCCTCGTCCCTAACAGGCCACGGACTGGTACCGCTCCGAAGCTGGGAGTTGGGGACTGCAGATGTATAGTGTTCATTCTGGGATGGATTTATGCTTGAGGACTTTTCTGGGTCACCCTAGCACCTAGAGCAAGGCACGCAGAGTCCACATTATTATTTGATTATGAGTCCATCGTATCTCTGAAGTCAACTCACAAAAAAGGACGAAGAATAACCATGCAGTGCAGTAGGCCAGGTTGTGTCTTCACCAGCCAGCGATGCCTGACTTTGGCTGGGGCTCACACGCTTCCCTGGCGTGGTCAGGTGGTGTAGAGCAGGAAGGAACAATCCCTGAGAGTGTTTCTCAGCCTCGATGACATGCCCTGGTGACAGCCTCTCTTTCTGTCTCTGGCATGGCCGTTCTGGTTCTTTTTAACTCCTCTTGTGTCCTCACAGATGCTAGTGGGGTTTTTGACGTCACGGTTGTGAACATCAGTGCCACAAGCATGACCCTGACCTGGAAAATCAGTGATGACGAGTCATCCTCCGTCTATACCTATGAGATACGCGTGGCTGGGGAAAACAAGTCCTTCTGTCTCAATGAGACCGTCAGTGAGACCCATGCTGTCATCTCTGGACTCAGCCCGAGTACCCTCTACAACGTCACCGTGCGTGCTGTCTTAGGCGACGCGGAGGGCACACCGGGCTTCCTCCAAGTGTATACCTGTGAGTTCATGTGTTCTTCTAGCTTACCTTCCTTGTTGGCTACTATGCGCCAGGCCAGATACAGGACAGAGAAGCTCTGATCCTGCCCTCTGGGAATGCCCAGCTCGGTGTGTGGCCCCCAGGGGCTCTTACCCCCTTCAAGGTGTGTGACGTAACGATGGTGATCCTTGGTTGGCCCTAAACACACGCTGAGCTTCGTGCGTGTGACGTGCTTTCCATGCACTGTCTCCTTGAATGCTCACGACAACCCTGTGACGTGGTTGGCATCGGCCTCATTTTGTGGATGGGGAAGCCAAGGCCGAGAGAGGTGATGTAGGCAGGTGTCACACCTGGTAAGTGACAGAGGCGAGAGTAAACCTCTGGTCTGTCTTGATGCTGGCCTGTGCTTGTCATGACCCTTCTAGTGTGGCAGAGACATAGAGGGAATTGACACAGGGAGACAGAAAGAACCTGGATATTCATGTCTCTTTGGCCCTTGGACGCTGACATTATAATGACACACTGGCACAGCTATGTGTCTCATCCTTTGTTTGCTTAAATGCGTCTAAAAGATAAAACATTTGACAGCAAATAAAAAGCTTTCTGTTCCAAAGAAGAATGATAATGTAAAGTAAGACAGTGATGGTGTACAAGTAGTTAGTAGTATAACATTGATTTTACTACCCATCAACAGCACTGACACGAGCAATGCATTTTGCGCAGTGCCAGGAGCTTTACAGGTATGACAGTGTCCTCCATGGTAGGTAATGGGGTCCCCCTTTTACAGATGAGAACACTGGAGCCAGCACGGCTGAACAGTTTGCCCAAGGCCACACAGCTGGTACGTGGCAGAGCAGGGAATTAAACCCAGGGTACCTGGCTCTGGACCCAGGCTCATCCCATGAGAATGCTTTACTCGAATGTCTCTTCCTTCCAAAGAAGCACACCTTGAGCACTCTTACAGATGTCTTTTGGACCGGCTTTTTGGGGAAAATGAAGTCTGTTTTCATTTCTTCACCTTTTACTTTCCTTCCTGTTTAGTATTTCTATTACTTAGTATTAGATTCAACTATAACAACCCTCCAACCCCCCAAATATGAGTGGCTTAAATAAGATGACTTTATTTCTCTCACCTATAACAGAAGCCCAATGCTAGGCAGGACGGGGACGGTAAAGTATTAGCCAGGGTTCGGTTGTAAGAAATAGGCCAGGCGCGGTGGCTCACGCCTGTAATCCCAGCACTCTGGGAGGCCGAGGCGGGAGGATAGCTTGAGCTCAGGAGTTTGAGACCAGCCTGAGCAAGAGCGAGACGCTGTCTCTACTAAAAATAGAAAAATTAGCCAGGTGTGGTGGCGTACGCCTATAGTTCCAGCTGCTCAGGGGGCTGGGGCAGGAGGATTGCTTGAGCCCAGGGGTTGGAGGTTGCAGTGAACTATCAAGACATCATTGCACTCTACCTGGGGCGGCAGAGTAAGACTCTGTCTCCAAGAAAAAAAAAAAGGAAATTGCAAGAAACAGAAACTGTGAGCTATTTTAAGCCAAAAGGGGTTTATCCTAAAAATTGAGGGTTTATAGAGTCATTGGAGGGGCTGGTACATTAGTTTGCTACAGCTGCTATGAGTACCACAGACTGGATAGCTAAAACAACAGAAATATTAATATATTTTCTCACAGTTCTGGAGGCTGGAAGTTGGAGATCAAGGTAACAGCAGGTTTTGTTTCTTCTGAGCCTCTGCTCTTAGTTCGTAGATGGCTGTCTTCTCCCTGTGTCTTCACATGGTTGTCCCTCAGTCTGTGCGTGTCTGTGTCGTCATCTCTTCTTAGAATGAATTTTGGGAGCTGGGCACAATTCAGCCCGTAACAGCTGAGGAGCAGGCTTTAAGCTCGGCCCCCAGAAATGACTCCCATACTAAGGCTGCAGAACTGACCACCCTGGAGAGTCACCACCACTGTCACAGACAACAGAGTGAGAAATCAGCAAGTCTCTGCTGTGGTTGCTGGATCCAGGAACATCTGTTTTCAGCTGTGAGCTGGGATCAGGAAGCTGCCCCCACTGCCTCAGTGTTGGTTCTCAGCCAGGCAGCCTGAGCTCCAGCCATCACATCCATGCTCCAACTGTAAGAGGGAGGAAGAGCAGCAGGTCGCACTCCACCCTTTAGGATACATCCTAGAAGTCCCGTGTGCTTCTGCTCTCATTCTAGTCACATCTAGCTGCAAGGGAGGCTGAGAAGTATTTTCTTTATTCCTGACAGCCGTGTACACAGCTAAAAATCCTGGGGTATGTGATGAAGGAAAAAGGGGGAATGGATTTTGGGAGTTGAGAGCAGCCTCTGCCGCACCTCCCTGAACAGAGGCTCTGGAGGCTCAGTAATGCGTTCAAGATAAAGCCACTGACAGCGGCCGAGGTTCTCCTCCAGAGCCTGGGCCCTCGACCGTGGGGGCTCACACCTCCTCGCATTGCCTGTGAAGGACTTTGTGTAACTTAAGCACCCAGTTTCTGCACTCTGTGGCCAAGTGCTCCCTCCATGGCCAGAAACACCAGTTTCTGCAGGGTTTGTATTTTAGGTCATCATATAAAGGAGAGAAAAAGAGAGATCAGGTGTCCTAAGTGTACATTTAATGTCCATGTAAGTATTTTATGAGGTTTATCATCTGTATCTTCTGCAGAAATAGATTCTAAATCTAGTCATTTACTTTCTTCCCACAGCCCCTGGTCCAGTTTCCGACTTTCGAGTGACCATGGTTGGCACAAGGGAAATTGGCTTAGCTTGGAGCAGCAATGACACTCAGTCCTTCAAGATAAATGTCACACAGGATGGATCTGGAACATCTTGGGTGAAAACAACCACCAACCAAAGTATTATCATTGATGGCTTGTACCCTGGAACCAAATATCGTTTTGAAATATTTCCACAAGGACCAAATGGGACCGAAGGGGCATCTCAAACAGTTTACAACAGAACTGGTAGGCAAATACGCTTTTGTGTCAAACAATCATGTTTCTTAAAGGAAACCAGTGTAATTTATAAACGTCATGTTTTCCAAATATTATTTTTCTTTTAATTACCTAAGGAAAATCTTTAAAATATGTCTTAACTGTAATGCATATTCATTATATAAAATACAGGCAATCGAAAGGAAAATATATCACCTGGAAACCATCAACCAGAGATAATGACTGATAATTTTTGGTATATGATAGTTTACAATTTTAAGGTATATACATATAACATATTCTTTGACAAGCATTGAGGTTATCCTGAATGTGTGTTTTTTTTAATCTGATTTTTTCCCACATACTAGTTTATTATGAATATTCTTTCCTGTCAATATAAATATTTCTATAGGGTAATTTTGACACCTGCCTGGAATTCCATTGTCTAAATCTGAGTTGGCAGATGTAATGGCCCATGAGCCAAATTTGGCCCACTGCCTGTTTTTGTGCATAAAGTTGTATTGGAACACAACCATGCCCATTTGTTTATGCACTGCCTATGGCTGCTTTTGTGCTAGAATTGAGTAGTAGCAAAAGAGAACGTATGGCTCGTAAAGCCTGAAATATTTATTCTCGGGCCATTACAGAGATGTTTGCTGACCCCCAGGCTAGATCAGTGATTCTCAAAGTGTGGTCCAGGGATCTCTGGGGTGTCCCCTGGATTCTTTCAAGGGGCTCTATGACAGACAGCATCACGGCTGATGAAATGCATGTTGCGTATTCTTATGTTTTAAAATGTCCTCATTTTAAATTTGTAATACATAGATATTGCTATAACCTACATAAACAAAAATCCTCTGAGAGCTTTAACAATTTTTAAGCAGTTAAAGGGATTCTGAGACTAAAGAGTTTAAGAATCTCTGCTCTAGATGTGTTATAAATGAACTACTCCTCTATTGTTGGGCAGGTAGGCTATTTACAATCTTTCATTATGATACATTTCATCATATTATTTCATAAAATAGTTTCAATAAATCATTGAATTATTTCTGGGCTAATAGGAGACACTTTTCAGAATTCCTAGGGAGTTGATGTTCATTATTTTTGTTTTTAAAATTTGAAAAACATTTTTTGGGAAAGGTTGAAAGACATAGCATTTCCTGATCTTTGATTGTAAGAGAATTGAAATGCTTTATACAAAGGAGAGAATAAAGAAATGAGACAGATTCCTTAAGCCAGACATGAAATCAGTTGGGCTTTTGAGATTCTCTTTATGAGATTCTTCAGCTGTGCTGGTTGGGTTAGGCACTGATAGTCACTCAGAGGATCTGTTTCCAAAATAAGGGAACTGCTAAACTGTATCCCTCAGATGAAATTCAATGCACATTTTAGATTGGACTATAGAGATAGCATTTTGATATCAACAGATGTTTCTTCCTTCTTATTAAGAATGTTTAATAAGAGGATCGTCACTGTGGGGAACCCTTGATGTTGTGTGACTTGCTAATGCCCAGAGTTTAATGTAATAATAATATTAATAATATAATAGATCGGGGGGTCTACAAATTGCTGGGTGCTCTCATACTCTATTTAAAAAATGTTAACACAACTTGATGGTAGGTACTATAATCAGTCACCTCTGTTTTACAGAGTGGGAAGTGGGGGCTCTGTGAGCTTTTGTAACTGGCCCAGGTTCACAGGTGGGCCAGGGTCTAGGGCCTTACTTATAACCCTTCTTGACTTCCATTCAATGGGCCCTAGACTCTCAGGGGGTTACCTTCTATTATTGAATAGCTGTCATTCTTCTTGGAAATAACCAATTTAATGGCAGTAAAGGCATCTTTGGAAAAGGGAAACAAATACCGTATGATCCAGCAATTCTAGTCCCAAGGTATATATCCAAAAGACCTGGGAGCAGGGTCTCGAACAGTTATTTGTACACCAGTGTTCATAGTAGCATTATTCACAATAGCCAAAAGGTGGAAACAGCCAAGTGTCCATGAATAAACAAATGGATAGATAAAATGTGGTATATCCATACAGTAGAATATTATTCAGCCATAAAAAGGAATGAAATTCTGATATTTGCTACAACATGAATGGATCTTGAAAACATTATGTAAGTGAAATAACCAGGCACAGAAGGACAAATACTGTATGTTCCACTTATATGGGCATCCAGAATAGGCAAATTCATGGGGACAGAAGTAGAATAGAGGCGACCAGGGGCTGGGGGAGGGGGAATGGGAAATTATTGTTTTATAGGTACAGAGTTTATGTTGAGGATGATGAAAATGTTTTGGGTATAGATAGTGGTGATGGTTATACGACATTGCCAGTGTATTTAATGACACTGAATTGAATGCGGACAAATGGTTAAAATGGCAAATATTATGGCATGTATATTTTACCACGATAAAAAGGAAGGGAAACAAATATAATTTCACTCTTCTAACCCAACTGAATTCCTTTTCTCTGTGTCCACAGTCATAGATTTTGTTTGCATCATTATAATTATTATACAAATAACTTTATTTTGTGTTTGAACTTTTTTTTCCTTTGTATATACCATAACTTCCACCCATAGTTCGCAGGGTCTTCATGTTTTTAGTGGATGCAGAATGTTTCATCGTGGAGCCAGATCACAGTTTCAACAGCCCTTCCCTTTTTTATGGCATATTTAGGTTATTTCTAGTTTTTTTTATGTTTATAGGCAAAGGTTGCCTTTCATGGTCTTTTTTTTGTCTGTGGAATCCTTTTGATGTTAGGAATCTGCAGCTGGGGAAGAAGGCTCTTCAAGCTGCCTACCTTTAAGGAGAACCCACTTAAAAAAATTTAAATTAATTGTGGAGTAGAGTGTACACACATGGTACTTTTAAAATGCAAAGGGTTTTACAGTGAAAGCGTTTCCTTTTCTTGTCCTCCAGCCACCCAGCTCCTCTCCCTGGAGGTGACCTTGGTTGCCAGGTAAAGAAAGATGGGTTTTGAAAGCAACGGCAGAAAAGAGGCCCTGCTTCCGTTGTTACTTCTGGGCCCGGATGCAAGCACTTACAGCACAGGTGGCTGAGGGTGCAGCGGCGAGGTGGCCAGAGGATAGGATAGGCTCCTGTGGGGACCCCACTTCTGACTCCCGGTTTTGAGGGTGGAGGGCACGTGTGTTTTCTTCCCTTCCTCACCCGACCTTAAGTGCTACAATTTGGTAAATGTCAGCTCTCCATTTCAGTTTTCCTTTTCAGTGTGCCCGGCTATGTCACAGGAAGGTGTTTTCTTTTGAGTGAGTCATCTAAAAAACAAAACCTTTTTATTGAGATATAATATACATACCCCAAACCGCACAGACCCTCAGTGCACAGTTGGATGTATTTTCACAAACTGAACCCATCTGGTTACCCACACCCAGATCAAGAAACTGAACATGATTTTGGCTCCAGACGACCCCTTGAGGGGGGTCAATTTTATGACAAAGACAAAAGACCAGAGAAACTGGTTAAGATGAACTGGGGTTCATCTGTGTCATGGAAGAGCCAAAATTCCTAAAAGAACCGAGTGTGTGCATTTCTCACCTCAATTTTGGAATTTTCCTTTTCTGATTGCATTTGAGAGTTTGATGGCAAAACAGCAAGTTCTCTTGACAGACACTTGGAGATGAAGCTGGACGTCATGGGGGTCACTAACAGGTTTCATTTGCCTTCATTTCCTCTGGCCAGCCCCCAGTGCGGTGTTCGACATCCGCGCCGTCCACGTCTCCACCACCGAGATGCAGCTGGAGTGGGAGAGCGCAGACAGCGCTTCTGAGTACGTCTACCACGTAGTGCTACGGTCCGAGCACGGCTCTAACCGCACGAACACGTCTCACAAAGCGCTCACTCTCCAGGGCCTGATCCCGGGCACATTATACAACATCACAATCTCTCCTGAGGTGGACCATGTCTTGGGGGATGCCAGCTCCATTGCGCAGTACACACGTAAGTCCTTTAGGACGCCCTCTTAGGGGAGGGTCTCCCTGACGTTCTCTCGGAGGAGGCACTGGGTAGAGATGGGGTAGGGGCCAGTGTGTTTCTGGGCTCCAGGTTGAACCTGAAGCTGAAAGTGCTGAAGTTGAAAACATCGGCCTCAGCAACGGTGCTGCTGTCCTCACGGGACAGTGGTGTTGAAGCTACGTGAACTTGAAATTGTCTTTAGAAGCAGGAAGTGGTTCCGTGGGAATGGAGAATAGAACTGTTCCATTCATTCCTGGGGCATACAGACTCTGTGTCATGTTGGCATTAGAAGATATTGTTGGATGGAGAGCTTTGCCTACAATAGTGATGGGGCTGTTTTGCTACTATTTGAACTAAATATATGATAGAGATGTTAGTTTATAATAACATTTTTAGTGTGTTTTTCCCATTTACCTGTCAGATTTAAAAAGCAGATTAGAAATTATATCTTAAAATATTAATATATATTTCCAATAAAATTGAATATTAAAAGAAGCCTAAAAAACTTTATATCTATTGAGATTTAATCTGTATAATTATTTTTTCTTTTTTCTCTTTTTTAAAGCCAGTTAAATTTGGCAGTGGGGGGTTGAATACCAACTTCAGTGACACTAATGTTAGTAAGTTCTGATAACCCACTACCATCGGACCAGCCTGTATAATTATTTTCTCAATGTCTTTTTGGGAAGTTTTCCATCTTTCGAGCCAGCAAACATTAACTTGTTCCTTCTTTCCAAAAGGAGCTGGGGTATTTTTGGATGTAGTCAATAAAATGGTCCTGGAATACTCGCTAATTCATACTTCTACTTAAATTTTTTTTTTTTTTTTAAATCAAGGGCCCAGCAAAGTGTCCAACATTGAAATAAGCACCAACACCACAGCCGCAGCCTTAAGGTGGAATAACTCTGATGAAGCCTCTGCCACCTACTCCTACCGCCTTCTCATTGAGCAAGTTGGAAATTCCAGCAATGCCACACAAGTAGTCTCGGCCATTGGAGTCACTTACGCTGCAGTCGCTGAATTAACACCTGGCTCATCTTACAATGTGGAGATCTTTGCACGAGTGGGGGATGTTACTGAATCACTGGTGCCTGGGAGGGAGTCATTCTGTACAGGTGAGTGGTCCCAGGTGTCTCTTGGACCCCTTCCCAGGTGGTGCTGACCTCCACAGTCTGTAGTTAGGTTTCATGTGCGGTGCAGTGATAGACATCGAGTTCTCCGAGACATTATATTAGCTTATTAGTGCTGTCTTGATGCCCTCATCATTCCTTCAGATATTTATTGAGCACTTACAATATGCCAGACAGACAAGTCCCTGCCTTCTTGGAACTTCTGTTCTGGAAGGAGGAAATGAAATGTTTATCTAGGGTGCTCAGGAGAGGCCTCAATGAAAAGGTGACTATTGAGCAAAGATGTCAAGGAAGGTAAGGAGCCAGCCATGTGGATATCAGGGCATGAGAGCATTACAGGCAAAGGAGCAGCCAATGCAAAGGCCCTGGGGCAGGAGTCTGCCTGCTGTGTTGGAGGTAGAGCCAGAGCCTGGGGTGGTAGGAGTGGAGTCATGGGAGCAGGAGCATGCAGGGTAGGAGGTGAGGCCCGCCCGAGCAATGCTGGGCCAGGGCACAAGTGATGTCCGGCTGTGCAGTTCTTGGTTTGGCTTTTACACTGAAGGAGAAGGAAAGGATATTGTTAAAATGATGCTCAGTCTTTTCGGCCTCCTTGATCCCTACCTAGCTCACAATTCAAAAAGTGTGATAAAGGGAAGAGCCTCGTGTTTAACAGAGGACGCTTTCAGAGAGCAGCCCAGGGAAGCTTTTGCAGACAGTTGTGGGCACTTCTGCTCACAGTTCTGGCTATGGCACCTTTGTCGTTTGGCACTCGGGTACCACCTCATTCCCTGCTGCCTTTTCCCCTACATCTTCCTTTCTTAGACCAGGCTGTTCAGATGTGCTCAGGCTGATTTGGAAGCAGGGGTCTCACCGGGTCAGCCTCCCTGGTAGTGTTGGAGCTGGAACCTCGATGGCCTCTGACCTTTCACATGGGATGGCCGAAGAAATCCCTGCAGCTTTGGGTCATCTCTGCTAAATGAGGCTCCATCCCCCCTAGTCTAGGCTCTCATCTTTGGTATTTGGGCAGCTTCCGTTGCTGATGCTTACCTTAGCTACAATTATTTGCAGCAAGAAAAAGAATCTATCTGTGCATTTATGACTGGGGGTGGGTGGAACAGGAGCTGTAGCAGTTGGTGCACCGGGCAGGGCACCCTTCCAGGCCTTGGATGGAGAATGCAAGAGTTGCATTAGGTTTCTTTTTAGAGCTTTTCTTGCTCTAAAATTCTGTGACATTAAATTAATGATAATATTCTCCACCAGCATATTAATTTCCATTTCATCAGTTTGATGTTAGCGCTCCATAAGACTCCATTGGCCCTCAGCGAGATAAATACAGATAATACCCTATTTTAAAGATGAAGAAATTGATACCATTTGCCATTGATTATTCAGTACGTTATGTGTGTAGAAAGTGCCCTGAACTTGGATTTAGAAAACCTGGGATCCAGGTGTGGCTTCACCACTTACCAACCGTGTCATCTTCAACAAATTAGGTAATCAGTCGATTCATCTGCAAAATGGGGCAGCGCGAACCTTAGCTGTTCCAGAAGGGTTGCCAAGAGAGCCTCAAACTGAGACAGTGCCAGTGAGGCGGTTGCTGCCACTCACATATGATACAGCTGCCTCTCGTGGAGCTCTGGGCTCATCCAGGCATCTTGCTTGATGACTGACACCCGTGGTTTGATTTAATCCTCAAACAGTCCTGCAGCTGAGGCTGTGAGTTGCTGGGTGACTGACCTGAGGTCACACAGTTTGGCATTGCCCGATTCAGGGTCAGGCTCTGCCTGTCCCACCACACCACTCACCTGCCTCCCGACCACGGATGGGCCTGGGTTCTGCTGTTCCCCGCGTTTCAGCGTCTGCAAAGGCGAAGGTTCGAGCATCTCACGCTGCGCTGCGCTTGCTTTGCAGATCCCGCATCCGTGGCCTCCTTCCATTGTGACGTGGTCCCCAGAGAGCCGGCCTTGGCTCTCAGATGGGCCTGCCCTCCTGGCGCCAATGCAGGCTTCAAGCTGCAGGTCAGCAGCGGGGCCTGGGACAACACGACACACCTGGAGAGCTGCTCCTCCGAGAATGGCACCGAGTACAGGACGGAAGTCACATATTTGAATTTTTCTACCTCGTACAACATCAGCATCACCACTGTGTCCTGCGAAAAGATGGCATTTCCTGCCCAAAACACCTGTATCACTGGCATCACAGGTGGGTTTTGTGGCAGGGGGTGGACAGTCAACATCGTGGTCACCCCAGAGAGGCAGACCTGGTGGGTCTGAGAGTGTGGCCTAGAAATCTGTTTTTTTTTTTTTTATTTCCTCGAAAATACTTGCTTTTACTTGTGTAGAACTGGTTTCCTGTTCTATAGAAATCCGATCTAAAAAGCAAGAGTAAGAGGGACCCATTTTTTTACATTCTAAAAGGTTCCTTTTCTTTACAGAATATCTAATTGCCACATTTTCTTCTAAGTAGTGAGCTCCCTTACTGCATTAAAAAAAAGCATTTTTATAGAAATGTTCAAATATACACAAAAGTAGAGAATAGTGTGATGAAACCCACGTGCCCATCCTCACCCAGTGGAACCCGTGTCAGCACTTGGCCTGTTTGTTTCATTTGTATCTTTTCCTCCTTTCCCTTTGTGGATACTTTGAAACCAGTCCTGATCACTATATAACTTTATTTCTAAATATTTCAGTATGTATTGCTTCAAGATAGGGACTCCTTTTTTCTTTCTTTCAAACATAGCCATGTTAATACTATGCACTACACTTACAAAAATTTAAGACTTTTTTATACTATTATCAGATATTCAGTTACGACTCACATTTCCCCGGAATTCATATTAACAAGCTACTGAGCTGTTTTGGGAAACAGGGCATCATCACTCACTACGTAGTCAATCTTTCCTTGGCCTCTCTTGTGGTGTGTGTGTGCTTGGAAAAATTGCTTCTTATGTCTTTGTTTCATTTCATTTGTCTTTCGCTCCCACTGTCTTCGCCAAAGTTATGTCTTAGATCAGCCTGGTGCGGTTCTATTTCTCTTTGTGCTTTTTGACTCCTGGATATGTTTTCTTTAGGGCATCACAATGTTTCTGACAGTTTCTAAAGACTTAGTGGTTGTAATAGTAAGAAAAAAGGCCCTTTTACTTTAGGGACCTGACTTGGAAAGTGGGTGAGGGGTTTGGGGACAGAGACTCAGACGTAGGTAGGCAGACCTGGGTTTGATTCCAAGTTCTTCCATTTACCAGCTGTGTGATCTCAGAAAAGCTACTCACCCTCCCTGAGAGAGAGGGTATATAAGCTGCAGAACAGAAATCATGTCTGATTCAGTGTCGTCAGGGCTGAGCACAGTGCCTGGCATAGAGTGCAGGAGTTCATCAGATTGAGTTGTTTCCGAAGCTGAACAATGCGTGATATGGTTGGGTAATGACCACATATTTACTCTAGTGAGTCTCTCACTTTTTAATCCATAGCTTCCTTTCCTCAGATGCTTTTTTTTTTGGAGACAGGGTCTTGTTCTGTTGCCCTGGCTAGAGTGCAGTGGTGTAATCATAGCTCACTGCAACCTCAAACTTCTGAGCTCAGGCGATCCTCCTGCCTCAGCCTCCCAAGTAGCTGGGACTACAGGCATGCGCTACCACACCTGGCTGATTTTTATATTTTTTGTAGAGACGGGGTCTTGCTCTTGCTAAGGCTGGTCTCGAACTCCTGACTTCAAGTGATCCTCCCTCTTTGGCATCCCAAAGTGCTAGGATTACAGGCGTGAGCCACCACACCCGGCCTCAGATGCATTTTTATGTACAAATTTAACATGTGTCACATAAAAGCGGAGTTGCCTTTTCTCTAAGAGTGTTTAAGCGTTGGAGAGATGGGTAGATCAGGGAGACCTGGAGGGATAGTCTTCTAGCCCACATTTGTTGGTGGCTTATGTGCTGTGGTGAGGGACAGGATGGGGAGTAAGGCTGCCAGGGCCCCTGGAGTGCAGGATTGAGGCTAGCTGAGAGGGAGAGGATTTCCAGTTCTGGTGGTGGGTGAGCTAGCATGCTGCTGCCAGCCTTGGGTGGTGAGCTGGGGACCCTCGCTGGCCAGCTACAAGGCATAGAACTGGTAGGAAATGTGGGCGTCTGTGCTCGCAGTTGACCTTCAGACATGGGAACAGCACCTCCCAGCGGTCACTGCTGTCAGTTACTTGAGAGGTTGCTGACACTTGTAGTTTAGAGGAGTGCCATCCCCTAGGAATACAGTGTGAGCTTCATGTGTAATTTAAAATTTTCTAGTAGCCATATTTAAAGTAAAAAGGAACTGCCGAAATTAAAATTAATAACATTTAACCCAGTATGTTAAAAATATTATTTCTACATGTAATTTATCTAAAGTATTAAGACATATTTTACATTCTTTTTTGTACCAAGTCTTTGACATCTAGTTCATATTGTATACTTCTAGCACTTCTAAATTCAAACCAGTCACGTTTCAAGGACTCAGCAGCTACATGTGGCTGATGGCTGCTATGTTGGACGGGGCAAGCGTGGAGAATTATGTCGTGGTTTTTTTGGAGTTCAGTTTTCTCGTTGTCCCTGAGTCTTGAGTATAGTAATGAGAACAACCAAAACTGTATGTGGGGGACAAATTTAGGTAGAGAGAGTATATGCGGAGAAGGATCATCTTTAATTCAGCATTTTCTTCTTTTTGTGTTAATTCAGAGACTGGCTTCACATATTTATGAAGGTCACCCATGGGACATTCCTGTGTGGGCTTTTCTGGTTTCTAGAAAGAAGACCTGTTGGGTTTCTCTAGGTGATGTTTTAGACCAACTCCAGCAAAAACGGG